AAGCCGTTTAAAACACTCGAGATCGTGTTTTATCAGGTATATCTCGCCTTCGGCTCGAATCTTTATACCTGATAAAACACTCTCTCTCGTGTTTTAAACTATACATAATAAAATATTTACAAAAATATAAATATGTATAAAATAGGCAATGTATTGCTAGCAAAAGAAAAAGCTTGGTCTTCTCAAGATTTTTGATCAGTATATAATTAATAAATTGCTGACCATGCAAAAGGAAAAGAAATGACATAAAAACATCAAAATTATTGCATATTTGTAATATAGTGTACATTTTATAACACCTTAACGTTTAAGTATATAATACTTCACATTTCAGTATTAAAAAAGACTATACAACATGAAAAACAGAGCAGTTATAGTTACAAATATAACTAACTCTCATGTAATAATTTTGTTTTTCTGATCTCAATCTTCAATCTCAAGAAGAAGCTTTTTATTTGCTAACAATACATTTTCTATTTCGTACTGCAGCTTCTCCTTTTCTAACTTTACCTCTAAATGCACTTCATTTAAGTCTTCAATTGCGACTTTTCGCTTCTTACTTGCTACTAATTTAGCTGACTTTTTATCAACGTGAACTTCGTCCACATGCAAGGAGTCATCTGCATCTACAAATAGTTGATTATGTAAATATTCTGATTAATTATCATTGTATGAAGGATTGTAAGTATGCTTGTAAAATTCATGAATAATTAATGAGGAAAACACAATAGAAATCACAACCGTGAAGAGTGTTGTAAATATTACTTACAATATTTCATGCTTTGGTCTATATTGTCTTTTATATATTTATCAACATGCCGATATTTCCTGAGGTGCACACATAGTTTGTTATTGTTTGATATTTTATCTCAATAAGCTCTGTAAGGTTATTTTTGTACAACATAAGCTTTATATTAAACAATAAGCTTATAGACTATTACTAATGTACAAAAAAATACACTAGACTAATAAACTATAAAGACAAACATCAAACAACAAAGAAGACAAAGGATTCCGTATATCAATAGAAAAATTCAAAAATATCATAAATATAAGCTTTATAGATTACTATTATTATTTGCATGTAAGCTTAACACGATTTGAATCAACCATATTTCTTACCTTCCTCATCTGCTGGCATGGTTGACACAGACGTCATATTTAAATCTGCTACATCTGACAGATCTAGCGTACTAAAACTAGATGATGACTCTGTAAACATAAAACAATCATAGAACAAAACTATCAATGTTAATAAAGATCGACCATTTTGCAGATATACTAATCTGAGCTTGTAAAGCTCATATAAACTAAGCACAATTTTCCAAATTTGTTATCTTTCATGTCCATTTTTTGCACGATAAAGTGAAGTATAGAAAATCGCACGGCATGTAATGACAATCTTCAAACTTCTTTCGTAATAGTAAGAGATAGTAAATAGTAAATTCGTCGCTTCATTGCGACACAAACAAAATGGACGTCTCGACTAGTCTTGGGCTAGCCTGTGGTGTCTAGATACTTATTTACATACAATAGACAAACACATGACCTGACAATGACCGACTGGACATGTCACACAACAGCTAATTTGTAAACAGTATCAAATTACATGCGGAGAACGTTGAAATAACAAGCGTCAGTAATATCTGCAGTAGCGACAAATGAACACAGAATCAAAAACAAAGGTAGCAAAGTTTATTGCTGAAATTCTTACTTACCAAGACCTCCACTAATCACGGAGAACGACCGGTCTTCCCCGAAAAGATCAATGATTTTCATTGTCGTGGGCGTCGGAGAAGTAGTTTTTCCCCCTCCAGTTTCCTTCCTTGTCTTGGCTACCGTGTTGTGCGTTTTCTTGGCCGTAATGACCATAGCCCTCCACTTATCTTTAATTTCCGTAAGTGTCCTTTCGTTAACACCAAGAGCATTTAATTTTGAAGTGATGTCTTGCCATGTTTCTTTCTTTTTTTATTTCTTATAACGGTGGAAAATTTGCTTTTAATAATATCAAGGCGTTTTTCAGCCTCCTATTAAATGACAGTGCACTCTGAACTGGTGAAATTAGCCTTCCTGTTTCGTTTTAATTCGCCGGTAATCTCTATTTCGGCCGCCATTTTGATTGCAAAAAATGAAGAATTTTACCTAGCAATGTGCAATATATATATCAGAAAAAAATACAAAATACAAATAAAAATTAATAAAAATAATAAAAATAAAAGAATTCATAAAATGGAATGAAAACTATTCCGTTCGCAGGGCAATTCAAGTCATACATTTACATAATTACTGGCACGAAAATCTCTTAACAATATCACAGTTCTGTGAAATAATTCATTTCTGTGATCGTTCAATTGTTAGTCTTGCTATGTTCGGTTTTAATAGAATAGTCATTTCTTTATCTAGGTCTTTATGGTATGAAGCAAGAAAATCAAATACAATAGTGATAAGTTTGACTTTATAAGTATAGTTTTGACTATATAAGTTCTTTATCCCCAGTCTAAGGTCTGCATACTTGTTCTGCTTGTACTTTGTAATTGTAATTTGTAATTTTTGTAATTGTTCCCGGGGTGCATATCGTGCCTTCTACTAGGATCCATTCTTTGTTCTTCTTGTCTAATATGCTGATTCTGGCTTATTTGCACCGTCTCTAGGGCATTTTTCAAGCTGCCATGATATGTCCCATAAAATATTTGCTTCCTTGTTTTCTCGACATGGCTGTGGATATGACTGTTTGTACCATGGTAAAGAATAATCAGATTCATCAAATCCATATTTATCAAGGAAAGCGTGATAGACAGGGCGGAGCATCTTTTCATGTCGAGACTTGTATAGGGATTGAGCTATATGTGAACAGCCACAAAGTACGTGTGAAACGGTCTCCTGTTTCTCAGAACAGAGTCGACAAGACAGTTCTTGTAATTCTTCGTGTAGTTTCTGGGATCTGTAGGTCTTGGTATTTAGGAGTTGTTGTCTGATGCTTGTATCGATTGACAATACGATATCTGGAATGTTTTTCCACTGTTTAAAGATGTCATATGAAGTATTTGATATTTCAGACTGAATCATTCCAGTGTTGGGTCACAAATTTACCAACCCAAGGTTGGTTATGTAGATCTTTCATACATCTGTCAATGCTCGCTTTGTTTATAATGTTCTTTACTTTCTTTGGTTCCTTATCACTTATACGTATTTCTCTATCGCCGTATCCAAAGACTGTGTTGTTTTCATTGAAGTCGCAGTCTATGTTTAGCTCTTCTGTGTACTTCTTGGCATCTTTAAAGATTGATCTTAAATTACTTTGTTCTTTTTTCATCTGGAAGGACTTTACGAGCTTGATATGTTGATCTTCTGAATTATTAATGTAGTTGGCTACCTTCAACTTGGTGTTCTTGTACAACGTTTCTAGTTCGACTAATCCTTTCCCGCCTTGTTCCGGCTATAAGTACAGGAGTGGTATGGATTCATACTTGTGTTTTCCACGGCTATCACTGATGACTTTTCTTGTAAGTCTGTCGAGCTCTTTGAGGTGGTTAAGTGGCCAGTCGGTTGTCCACATATAATACTGTAAAACAGGTACWGCATAAACATTAGTGGCACGAACTTTACGTGGTATTGACAATGGAGAGRTCCAAACGGCCCAAAGTCGCTTTTCATACTCTTCAGWAGCTTCTTCAATAACTTTATCTTCCAGGTGTTGGATGTTCTGGTATTTTCCTAAGAATTGGTAATGATCTCCGATGCCTAGAACTGGTATGGAGCAGTTTTTACTTACAGGCATTTCAGTTCTATTGACGCTAGTGTCCAGTTTTCCACGTTTAAGATGTATTGCAGCGCATTTGTTGATTCCCCATTCTAAACCAATGTCTGCAAACATGTTCTTGATCTTACTTGACACAGTTACTGCCATTTGCTGGGATGGATGATAGGTTTTCAAGTCGTCTACAAACAGAGCGTGGGTGATCTTTTTGTCTGGGGCATGCTTTAGTTTATATCCTTCCGTACTCCTAATGTACCACGCGATAGGGTTGAGTGACAGGGTGAAGAGTCGCACACAGAAGGAGTCTCCTTGCAGAATTGTTGACTTTGACTTTGATGGGACCAATGGTTTCTTTGCCTTTGTTAGTAGTTACTTCCAGATTTATGTTCCATGTTCTCATAGCAGATTTGATAAGATGTATGAGGTCTGCGTGGATGCCATGCATTTCTAGAGTTTTGACAATCCACTGGTGCGATACAGAGTCAAATGCCTTTTTCACGTCTACCCAGGTGCACCATAGGTTCTTCTTGTGGAAGTGAGAATCTTCAAATATCATCTTATCAATCAGCAGATTATCCACAGTGCCCATTGATTTCGCTTTACCTCCTCTTTGGTCTATTTGCATGAGATTGTTCTTTTCTTCATGTACTTGTAGTAGATTGTCAATCACGGATGTGATGAGTTTATATAAGGTGTTTAAACAGGTTATTGGGCGATGATCGGGTGCGGACGGTTCGTCTTTCTTGGGTATCATTACACTTCTTCCTATTGTAAGCCAAGCTGGTATCTCTAGTCTCTCTGTAAGTATGGTGTTCAGTGCTGTTGCGATGTCTCCATGGAAGCTTTCCATCCTCTTTATCCAGTAGTTGGTGATTTTATCATTACCTGGCGAAGACCAGTTTCTCTTGTTTTTGATGCTATTGGTGATCATTTCTTTAGTTATCGTTATAGCCTCATTTGGGTGTTCGATGTGTTGTTTGATAGCTCTTTCAGTATCCTTTATCCAATCCGTTTCAGTAGACAAGTCGCWTACTCTCTCCCATATTGGTCTCCAGAATTCTTTGAATTCTTCTCTCGTTGTCGTTGAAGCGTGATTGTTTTCTTGGCCGCCTGAAACTTTCTCCTTGCCAATATACTGTGGGTGTTGGTTTGTTTCCGTTGATTTGATAATGTTATTTAAATGGCTATAAAACGAACCCTYRTCTGCATCAAACCACTGATTGGTCTTGAATCGATAGTAGGATAACTGTTTTATTTCCTTCTGTCTTTTCAGGGCGCGGATGGCGTTAATCTTTCTTTCCTTTAAAGTTGTCAAGCTTACGATAGTTACCATAGTTTCGTAGTAGCACTAGAGATAATAAAACTTTAAAAAATACGATATACTTTTTTAATCTTAACATGTTTCAGCATTACATTATGCCATCCTCAGAAGAATGAGAATAAAAGTCGTTACAAATGATTATATAGTCTAGGTACAAATGATTGACATGTAATATAATATGAACTAAATGAACTAGCGTGACTAATAAAAATAACAAGATAACCAGTACATGTTATCTGTTATCCCTATTTATAGATAATATGACAGCTACAGTTTAAAAGAAGTTTTCATATGCTTTACTTGAACGTTAAGTTCAGGTTTTAGATTGTTAATATAAAAAGCTTCTTTAAGTTTAAGGAGTATTTTATACTTTGCAGTGTCTAAGATCTTAAAACAATTCAAAGAGTATTTATCACTACAACTTTTAGATTTCGTGAGGTGTTTAAAGATGTGAGAGTTTTTATCAGAAACAGTATGTTCTTTAATCCTTGTAGAGAAATGGCGAGAAGTCTCTCCAATATAACGAGATTGACATCCCGCACAAGTAAATTGGTAGACTACACAAGATTTAAGACCATCTGGAATGGCATCTTTAAAACTAAAAAGTTGTTTGATTTTAAATGAAGTAAAAACAAGTTTAAGGTTAAATTCCGGACAAAAAAGTTTACATAGTTTTTTAATTTTAAAATTAGTTATTTTAGAAAAGTTTCCAATGTATGGTAGTTTAAAATAACGAACTTCGGCAGAAGTTTCCTGTGAGACATTGTTAGCTACATTTTTAGCATTGCTAATTTGTTGATTAACCGCGTTGTCTATGATATGAGCCGGAAAAGAGTTACGTTTAAGTGTTTGTGTTAGTTTATTTATGTCCGTTTGAAAGCCATTCTTAGTGTTGTTAATTTTAAAAATCCTGTCAGTTAGTGTTTTAACTAGACCGATTTTATACCTAAAAGGAGTAAAACTTAAAAAATTAGTTAGAAGGCCCGTGTATGTTTTTTTATGAAAAACCGACGTTGTACATTTATCTTGAGAATTATCTATTAAGACATCAAGGAAAGATAACTTCCCGTTGACCTCTTTTTCAAACGTAAAATTTATGCTGTCATGTCTAGAGTTAAGATACTTAAGAAATGACATAGCGTCATTTTCACTATGAAAAAGACAAATAGTATCATCTACATAACGCCTATAATATAATACATTTGGACCATTATAATTAGAAAGCCAATTCTGTTCATGATAACCCATGAACAAATTAGCAAGTACAGGAGCTAGAGGTGACCCCATGGCTACTCCATCTATTTGGTCATAAAATTTGTCATCGAATAAAAAATGAGTTTGTGACGTTGCAAAGTTAAAAAGTTTCCTAAGATTATCTTTGCTAATAAGAAAATTAGGATTGTTTTTAAACACAAGATCAACAGCTATTTCAATAGTTTCCTTAAGCGGAATGTTTGTAAATAGACTTTCAACGTCAAAAGATATAAGAAACTTATTACGAGTGTCTAAACT